CTCTGGAGCTCTTCACCTCGGTGACTGCCCAACAAAGTAGCCTATTGTTGATTCTAAATAACTGAAATTGCAACACAAAGGATGTAGATACACTCTTCTAGTGATAAACAAAACCTGTTATGTGGTGACACAGTATGGAATTTTCTGCATTAAAATCACTTACCTTCAATAACTAAGCTTTCAAACCAAAGGAAACAAAATACCTTTTCATCTGTAATGCTGGTGCCTAGCATTTTGATTCTTGCTTTATCTGCTAGAAATAATAATACAAAAATCTTACTTCTGTCTTCCTAGGCCATGGATTGAAGCCACAGATTAAATAGCTTGGAGTTTTCTTTGCAGCCGTCTTATTGCTGTCAGAACTGAGAGAGTTAAAGGATTTAGTAAAAGAGTAGGACAGACTGCAGACCAATGTACTGACCAACCCTGGCTTACATGCACCTGGCTCGTTTCACACCCCTTTCTGTCTGCCCCCACTCTGTTTCTCCCTGAATCCTGTCCTGTGCACATTCCCTCAGCAGCTGGCACAGTCCACTGACCCCTCCTGCATCCTCCACGAGCTTGGTAACGCATCAGTTACTGTGATTGGCCATATTTGTTTCTGGTTTTTGTTTTCATTAACACTGATTGGTCAAGTTTTACCGTCCCTCCTTTTCCTTATCATCACAATTTGTCAAGGTGCTTAGCCAAATAGTCTTACTGAAATATAAGAATTCTCACACTCCATGTATCCTTACCATTTAATGCAACTGACTAGGTTTGTTTCTATCACAACCTCCCTTATCATGTGTCAGTCAGGTTTGAATCTGTAGGTTCTTGTGTGTGGCTCCTTTGACCAGATACCCTCAGGGAATCCAACACTCTTCTTTTGTGTATGCCTGCGATATGGAATAGCAACTGCAGGAATTGCTCTCATGAAGAGGAAGCTATAACAGGAGTGTACAGTTAACACAAATATTCTGTCTTGATATCAACTCGAGTATTTTCTTTGAAATAGAAGAAAACTGTAACTAGCGGCTTGTTGCTCACAGGCAGCTACTTTGGCTGTGTCTTTGGGACAAAGTTTTCATGTTTGCACGTGCTTTTTAGACTTCCACGATCTACAAAGTTCTGAAGTGTGTAGTATGTAGTAGGTAAAAAACTAGAAATAGTGCTGCGTAATTTTCTTGGAGGTGTGGACAAGGAAAGAAAATGTTTTAAGAGTAGTCTATTACCACATTACAGTTGAGATAGATGATAGGAGTTTTGGTGGACTTTCAGGAAGTAAGACTGTACTAAGTAGTAATAATTCCTGTATACTGAGACTGGATAATAAAACAGTCTTACTGTCAGGGAAAGTTAGACAGCAATTGGCACACAGACTGAAAGTGTTCAGGCAGGGCCTAAATGCTTTCTAGAAGCAAAAGGGGGTTTTCCTTGTTACAGAATGAATTCGCATAGTGAGGACTGCAGAAATAGAAATGGAATTTTATATGGTGGTTTGGTGTTTTCCTATGATGATGTTAGATAATAGGAAGAACATATGTCAGTGCATGGTAAATCACCTGAATTGTAGGAATTTGAAAGACTTGTTCAACTTCAGAATAGAAAAACATTCTGCATCTGTATTATACAATGAATAGAAAATACTGTAGGATTAGCATTTGTGATGAAATGTGTCTAGCCAGGAGAAGATGTTAGCTAGGATGCTATAATACATAGTGCACACATTGGGTTTTTAAATGACGGTGATTCACTGTGGAAGGCTGCAAATAGAATCTCTTTAAAATACTGCACTTGAACATTGGATAGTTCTACTTGAAATGTCTCAGCAATTTTTATTTCAAAATAAAAAAGCTGTTCTTAATTACTGGTATTACGTGTATTCATTAAAATAACCATGGACTTTGTCTTCTTTGCATCGTAAGTATAACCTTATGAGGTTTGTTGGGTCTTTTTGGAAAAAGTTGGAAATCTTGTAGTCAAGTTGAGGACTGGAGTGAAGCTTTGTGAATGTTTAAACCTGTATCTGTGTAGAGGCATGGTAGAAGTGCTGCTATTTTTATGAACAGCACCATTTGAATGGTCGTGAATCTCAAAGAGCTAAACATAATTTCTGTGTGATCCAGAAGTGTGTATATATATCTCCATATATTTGTGATGCATATGTTTAGTACATGAGTTCTTTTGAACGTCACGTTTTGGTTATATCAAATTTCCTGTGTTTCTGGGTAGACTGGAGGTTAATCTTGGCAGAATCCTTTAGTTTAAAATGAAATTTACTTTGTTCAGTGTAATTATTAATTAAAATAGAAGCAATTCACCTTTTTTCTTCCCTAGGTATGTGTTCTTCTTGGATCCATGCAACATTGATCTAGTACATCAGAGGATCAAGTCTCTTGCTTTGTGTGTATCAGCTTGCCCAAGGAAAGAATTAAAAACTCTGGCTGATATTCAGAAATTTGCAGAAACTAATGGTATGCAAAAAAGCATGTCTTTTTTTGTTCACGCACCAGTTATTTTCATAGGATTGAAAAAGATTGTACATCAGCTGAATTAAGAACGAAATATGTATCAAGAAATATCAATAGAAATAATGTGATATTTTTATTAAGCTAAAATTGTACTAAATATTAGTGTGAACATGCTTCTGTTTTGTCATATCTTGGAATGTTTTGAATGCTCATTGTTGAAGCAGGAGTACAAAGCATAAGGAGAATTTGAGGGAATGTCTGATCATAGGGTATATTTTCAACTCCTATGGAAATGTTCCAGCAGTGCTTCTTTACAGTAATGCTGTTGAAATGCCTTCGTGCTTATGTAGTTAGTAAGAGTAATGCTGCTATTGAATGGCATTTGCTGCGCAGAGTACTGCTGTGGATGTGAAAATACTCCTCCTTTCATTCAGTGCTGCAGTGTAGTTCCTGGGTTTTGGGTTTTTTTTTAGTTTTGTTTTTCTTAAATAAGTTTAAAAGAAACTAACTGTGTTAATAAATGAAATATTGTATCTTATTTTCACTAGAAGCAGTACTTTGTAGTAACAATGCTGTTATTAGTAGCTCAATCCATATTTTAGGACTGTATGGCATAAAATGCATGAGAGGTAACCAACTCTTGGAGCTTCCGAAAAAAAAGCAAAGATAAAAACTTTAAATAATTTGAGGAAATTTCAGGGTTTTTCAGCTATTCAAGAGGGAGTGTTTTGTCCTAAGTTTTCCTACATAATCTTTTAAAATGCTGCGGTAAGTTTTCTTTGCAAGATACTTGGCTAATGATGAGTTATTCTGAGTGACCAAGTTCAAAGCAGTGACAGTGACTACTTTTCACAGAAGGAAATGAAATGTTGATTTCTGTTCTGGTATAGGTTATGTGACTACTTCTTGTTTGAAAGCAGAGTGAGCTGAAATGGTCCTAGGACACTGTTAGTGCCCTAGGCCTCCCACTGCCTTGCACCCACGCACCTGGGTGCCTGACAGCCTGTATCAGGGCAAGAGCTGAACTACCGTGTGGCATTACAGCACACGTGGAGCTGCACAAACAGCTATGCCAGCACGGTGCAGCGAGTGGTCCAGAATGGGAGCTTCCTCGTGGTCTGTACACTGATGCCAAATACAAGCCTGCAGTGAAACTAGCCAGTATCTACAGTTCTACTCTTCGCATTTGAGCATGCTGTGTTTTTCTTAACTAATGCAGTTAGGCCAGTTATTTTGTTTATGTGCAATCAAGGACATTAGTAGTGGAGTTTAAGTTCCTCTTGAAATAGTGAAATGTGGCCATGCCTTGTTGCCACAAAAATAGTTTCTATGCTTGTAAGTCAAGTCTCTTATTAACTATGCCTGAAATATGTGCAGTATAACCAGCTTTCAAAATGCATCAAAACCTGCTTTTCCTAAAACATGCTATGTTTTTTCCTTATGATTCTCCATTCTAACTGTATCTCCCTTGATATTTTCAATCTTAAAACCTGAAGATAAAAGACTTTTTTTTTTTTTTTAATTAATCTCACAGTCAGTTGTTTCAGTTTACAGAACCTTGGTCAAAAGTATGTCTGGTGTGACAGCAAAACAAAATCATTAATGAGTTCAATTTGTGATTTTCATTGTATGATATCTGGCTTATCGAAACCAGGTACTAAACTAAACTAAACTGAGCTTTCCTTTTGTTGGAAACTCTGTGCAAGACTGGAATCACACGGTTCATCATCCTTATGGTTGTGTTTCTGCTTAAATGTTCACCAACTAGTGCAGGTTCCAGAAAGTGATGGTTTGCAGAAAATTAACAGCTTAAGTATTCATCACCTTAAATTATTTCATATGTATAGTAACAGTTCAAGCATGATTCAGTCTTGTAATAGAGGAAGAACAGTGAATTAGTACCAAAACTGTAGTACTCGGTAAATGAGTCATTTTTTCTGAGACACACTTTGTAACTATGGCAGTGGTTTTAAATTAATTAATACTAGGATTATGCTTGGCAGTCTTATTTCAAGTGACCATAGACTCCACTCTAAAAAGGATAATAGAGAAATCTGAGGACTTTGGGACTGCACAGAGGTTAATTGTGATTGCTGTGTTTGTGATAGTATCATTAGAATTTAGAGTTCAACTGTCAAGTTCTGAAGAAGGAGACAAGAGATATGTTTAGTTTCTCGTGATAGTCAATGCTGAATTCTCCCACACTTGCAACTTCAAACACTTAACAAGAAAACCACTTTAATGTTTTAAATATGAGGGTAGAGAATGCAGTCAGTTCTTAATTTTGCTCTGCTGAA